TCTGTAGATCACGGAGCTACATAACTCGTTCCATGTACATAATTAGGCGTAAATTCAAAGGATTTGTTTCTTCTTCTTCTTCTTCTTATTATTATTATTATTTGGCTTTATTCTATATTATAATCTGGTACAATAAAGAATTCTCAGCACGAGTTATTTCAACAAGTTTTTCCCAAAAAAAAAACAACAACAAAAAAAACAGAAATAAAATATAAAAAAGGTTTAAGAAAATCTGAGTTTATACAAATTATCGAATATGAGACATGTTTCTACTCGAATATAAAATTATCATTTGATGCTTCTGAGTTCATGTGATATGTGATAAACCTCGTCAAACTTAAGTGTTTGAAATGTTTAGAGGATTTCATTAACAACTTTTAAGATTTAAAAATATTTAATTACTTGACGTGCTGAATTAAGAGAATCCTCATTTCCCAAAACAGGTTAATCCTGCTTCGGTTTGGGCACCCGGGCAGTATCACAGCCCACACACAAATAAATGAAATGATGAATTCTATTGACTATACTATTCTCGCTCATATTAGAAGCCAGACAATTTACACTATTATTATTATTACCATTAATATGATTATTATTGTTATCATTATTATTATTACTATTATTATTATTTACTACGTCGCTTTTTCACCCCTTTTATCCCCAATTTGTGTAACCTTACTTTTCAACTTATATAGCAGCTCGCTCTTGGTGGAAAATCTGTCCTATCTAAACGATCTCCAGTCATTGTCTGGTTGAATGTGAATGGTGGCCGATGGGGACTTGTTGGTCGCAGGACAGATAACGGGGACCGTTTGCTGCAACTGTGCACAGACCACAACCTGTTTCTGGCCAGCACTAACTTCCGGCACAGTCATCGCCGGTGTGCCACCTGGCGTCCTCCCTCTGCATCCCAAGCCTGGACTCAGATTGATCACATCGCGATCAGCTACCGCTGGCGTGGTTGTGTACAAGACTGCCGCTCCTTTTGGAGTACCTATCTGGAGTCTGATCATGCCCTGGTCTGCGCCAATCTCACATTACTTATCAGTGGCCGAAGGATTGACCACCACCAACGGATTGATATTAGTAAACTGGCTGCAACTTCTGTTGCAAGTAAGTATCGAGCGGAGCTAGCCTCTAGGCTAGCTACCACCCCACCGAAAAGTATAGATGAGCATTGGTTGCTTCTTCACGACGCCATGCAAATGGCGAGTAAAGCCGCTTGTGGCTTCGCGAAACGTCCCGCTTACAAGCACTGGGTTTCTTCTGGCTCCTTACAACTGATGGAAGCCCGTCGGTCTACTCCGGGTGACCGTGAGTTTGACCACAAACGAAGGCTGTTACGTAATGAGATCGGGCAAAGCTTGCGTAAGGACCGGGAAGCCTGGTGGTCGGAGCGTGCTAATGAGATGGAAGCAGCAGGTGCATCTGGTAACTGCCGGAAGATCTTTCAACTCATCCGAGCCACTGGCAGCAAGAAGTCTGGTGTGAGTGAAACAATCTACGAGGATGATGGGATGCCAATCACTAACATCTCCCGACGTCTTGGACGATGGGCGGAATTTTTCGAAGGGCAGTTTAACTGGCCTGCTGCTCCGGCAACATCAACTAGCTTGTCCTGCCCTCCATGGCCGGTGACGACTGATCCACCAAACGAGGCGGAAGTCCGCAAGGAACTCCAACTCTTGAAACGTTACAAATCACCTGGCCCAGACGACTTACCTCCGGCTCTTTTTAAAGATGGTGGTGACTTTCTGGCTAAGGAACTGACTGTGTTGTTTGCAAAGGTTTGGGAGCAAGAAAGTGTTCCAACATCATGGAATGAGTCAATAGTCGTCCCTATCTTTAAAAAGGGTTCACGTTGTTCCTGCAATAACTATCGGGGGATAAGTCTACTTTCGATTGCGTCCAAACTATTGGCTTCTATCATTCTTCGTAGGTTGTTTAAAACCCGAGAACGATTGACTCGCGAGGAGCAGGCTGGTTTTCGTTCTGGTCGAGGATGCATTGATCACATCTTCACCCTCCGCCAAATGTTAGAACACCGTCATACTTATCGTAGTGTTTCTTGATATCAGGGCGGCCTTCGATTCGTTGGACAGGACTGTTCTCTGGGATTGTCTATTGAAGAAGGGTGTGCCTGAGAAGTTCATTAACATCTTAAAGGCCCTGTATACGAACACCTCAGGCAGAGTGAGGGCATACAACCACCTTTCTCCCTTGTTCCATTCGAGCAGTGGGGTTAGGCAGGGTTGCCCGATCTCACCATTCCTCTTCAACTTTGCCATCGACGACATCCTGGAAACAGCTCTGGTGGATGTAAGTAATGGCGGTGTGGATATGTTGCCTGGAGAACGACTTCTCGACCTTGAGTATGCGGATGATATTGTCTTACTGTGCGATAATGCCCAAGGCATGCAATCAGCACTTAATCAGTTGGCAATCAGTGTCCGCAGGTACAGCATGTGCTTTGCACCCTCCAAGTGCAAAGTACTCCTACAAGACTGGCAGGATTCTCATCATGTACTCACCCTGGATGGTGAGGAGATCGAAGTAGTTGAGAAGTTCGTGTATCTAGGTAGCTATATAAGTGCTGGTGGTGGCGTGAGTCATGAGATTGGTGCACGTATAATGAAAGCCAGAGCGGCTTATGCCAATCTGGGCCATCTTTGGCGCCTTCGTGATGTTAGTCTGGCTGTAAAAGGTCGGATCTACAACGCGTCGGTGAGAGCAGTTTTGTTATATGCTTGTGAAACCTGGCCTCTCAGAGTTGAGGATGTTAGACGTCTCTCTGTGTTCGATCATCGTTGTCTCCGAAGGATTGCTGACATACAGTGGCAACACCATGTTAGTAATGCAGAGGTTCGGCATCGTGTGTTCGGGCGCAGAGACGATAATTCAATTGGTGTCACCATCTTGAAACACCGACTTCGGTGGCTTGGACATGTTTTACGAATGTCGTCTCAGAGACTTCCACGTCGTGCATTATTTGCCGACCCTGGGACTGGTTGGAGAAAGCGGAGAGGAGGTCAGTGTATGACATGGTGTCGTGGCATGAAAGAGAGCTGCAAAGGGCTAGCTTCTGTTGGTCCTTCACGACTCCTTGGTTTGGGTCCGAGAGATGGTGCAACACAGTGGCTAGAGACGTTATCAGATATGGCTCAGAATAGAAGCCAGTGGCGATCCTGCTGCAACCTTCTTTTACTTTCTACATAAAGAGTGGTTCTAACTTTCCTAACTGAAAGAGTCTTCTGGTTGTACATTTCAGTCCGCCTTATCTTTTCATCCTTTCCCTTCCTACTTTCATTATTTTGTGTGGCGCATATGTACCTGGTGCCCTTTTGTACCAATATATATGTGTTTAAATAAATGAATAAATAAAACAGGGTAATTCTCTTGATAAAATGAAAATTGTTGGTTAGCATCACTTGGAAAACCTCATTACGACAGATCCCCAAACTAACCCAATCAACGGAGAACTATTTTAATTAATGCAAACTCAATGGAGTTACAAACACAGATTATTTTTATGAAAACCATTTCCATTATAACCGGATATTAGTTGGAGAACCAGTAAAGACTATGGAGCATAGACAGTGGTCTTATTCTGAAATGCGTTACTGGTGTGCACTCACAACTCCCTACGAAGGACATTTAGGTTTCGAAGCAACCAAGATACTTTCAAAATACAAAATGGGAGACCAATAATTTACATTTCTAACCCAAACCAGTTTGGGACAAATTGTAGTCATTGATGGACGTCATTGGTAAGTAGTCCTTCCAACTAGGTTGACTTCAATATGTATTCTGTATAGATAACCAGAAAACGAACCATAATCTACATATCAAGGTGTAAACAAAGATAAATCTTTACACGCTTACTGAGTAATGTTTAAAACCATACATTCAATTTCACAAGGCCATAGGTAAAGCTATTGAACTTGGTATATCACAAGTTTACATTTGCAATACATGTAATGTTACAAAAACAAAACCCATCAAAAACTACTGGATATTTTGTCATCATTCATGCATATTTTAACAAATAAATACGTGATTAAAAACGACAAAACTTGCCTATATTTGTTAAAAGGAAACATGTGCACATTTGTGAAGAAATTTCAATCCAAGGGAAAATGATGAAAACGGTTGTGGTGGTGACTGACACTTCAGGTTTTCTCCCCTCCCACGCAAAAACAGGTAAAAACTGTTAAATCTGAAATCATTGTAAGTAATATACACCAAAATCCAAACACAAAGGAACAAATTAAACACAATATACAATGTGGATTCACAAGACAAGAATTCTTTGTATAAGGGAGGTGGTTACTTAATGGATATTCAGTAAGCTACTAAGCAAAAATCAGTAGCCAAATATTAAAAAAACTATACTCGACAAGACTAACAGACTGGATGTTTGTAAACTTCAGCAGCGCGACACACAATACTTCATCAGTCAGTCATTCAGCTACAAAACTACGTAGTGGCATAATGAAAGTAAGACAATTACGTTAACTGTCAATATAGATGAAACGATAAGACCGTTAATCAACTAATTAAACTATACTGATTACATAGATCATTACTTCTAATAGTTCGACTACTTAAGCCATTGAATAAATAGTAACAAACATTGCGATTAACATTAATAGACGTCAAAAAAAGGTTGTTTAAACTTACCGAAAATAACAAGATAGACCATCGAGTCAATACAAACTTGTAAGAATGAAACAAATGTGTCAGTTTAAATGCACATAAATGTGAGAATAGCAATTTATGGTAGGCATTACTTATCAACCAAACAGTAAACTAAGGCAATCCAATAAAACAACTGAAATTAATACACAAATTATGTCTGTATAGATATATATATATATATATAGAGAGAGAGAGACCATCGACACTGGAAAATGGAAATAAGTAATTACAAGGGACTAGTGATAGTTTGCTTTTCGAGAATAAGAAGCAGTAGTTGTTTTTTTTTGTGGTCGTAATAATGATTACTGGGCAGATGAAGTAAATACAATAGGTCGTGAATTTTCCGATGACATACGAGCACGTTTCCTAAAATCTTCTGAACCATGTAATTGTGAATCAGCATTACTTCTAGAATTTGAATGACTATCGGAGGATAATTCAAGACTGGAATCAATCAATCCAACACGTTTTGATGTAAGCCTACCAGTAGAATCGATTGTATTGGATGTATTATTGCACAAGGAATGATCTGAAGATAATAAAGATGTATCCTTCATGGAATCCTGTGATAAAAGTATTAAACAAGGAAAATTTTGCATTGAACTTAAATTTTATACATAAAAAAACCTCACATATAACATGTACTTATTATCTAGACTTTAAGATGGTATTCTATAAGATCGTAACTCTTAGATTATCAGCATCAATCGCTGGGATCAGAAGGATTTTCAATAACCTATTGGAATTACAAATGATACGACAATATACCTCTATAATTTTTAACCCCCCATTTAAATTTTACAGATCAAAGAATACTAATTTTGTGATAACAAGCCCATTAAGCTGAAGTTCTGGGGATTATAGAAAAAAAATCAAATGGTTTACAAGCATATATACAATTTTTGAAGTGATCATAATAAACAACCTACGTGTTTGTGATTATCTAGAGTAAGTGATGAATCATTTAGTTGACTGTCAGATGCTACAGCATCACATACCCCAGAGGATATTGATTTTGGAGATGGAGGAGGACATTTTATATCTGTTGATGAGTTTACGGTAGCTATGTTGGTCAAAGAACTTGTAGACATGGAATTATGAAGATTATTTGCAGGGGATGAAACTTCCTCAGATCCAGAGAGTTCAACACTGCTGGCCGGACTGGAAATTGAGTTCAGTGTGTTACTATTAGAAAGTGAACGGCCACTTTTTACATTTTCAGTAGAATTATTTACATTTGATAAAGCAGCAGCTGCAGCTTGACGTTTAATTTCGTCCATATCTTCTGCAGAAATGAACTGAGCTAACTGTGACCTAAGAATAAAAGATATTGTGGAATATTATAGACAAAAATTATATGACAATATTTCAGTGGTTTAATAGGTCAGTTAAATACTAAATCGAAGTAAAGAGTTAAAAGTAATCTAGCTCAAACCCAACACTCAAGATTAAACCCACCAGGCATTGAGAATTTTTTGAATAAATCTATCCTGCAATACTTGTAACTACATTCAAATCCCCTATAAAAACTTGTAAGACTGACTTTGAGATGATGGTTAGAGGTAGTCGACAGGACACCCTGGACCAACCAAGGTTTCATGCTATTTAGCACTCGTCAGCAAGGTGTAATCGTAAAGGGACTGATGCTCCGTGCCGGATTCGACCCTGCAACACTCAGCTTCACGGTCAGAGATTACAGGTACACTTTGCTGACTGTGTATACGGTCTAGAAGCTATACTAGTACCTGTTTCTAGTGATAATGAAGGTAGTTTTTTTGACGGTTCGGTAGCAGTGACGCACGCTAATCATGTTTGCAGATATAAGTAGTATGTAACACGCGTCGGAAGTGGGATGTCTCCGAGCAGAAGTTTGAGAAGATTGAAATGAAATGAGAGAAGGAGACTGAAAGCAACCAAGATAACAAAAGAAATGAAGGAACAGTGAAGTCTGTAAGAAACAACTCGAAAATGTGCTCGATGTATGTACTTGATGTATGATTTTCCTGTTTTACTAAACCATCACGTGATTGTGCAGTAAGCAATAAATCGGTCTCCCCCACCTGAGTTCTCTTCCACTTCAGCAGAAATACTGAATATTAGGTGTAGGCCATGTACGATATTCAACTTGTCTTGATACAAAAAGTAGGCTATTCAAAATAACTAAAACTGTTTTTGTGAACACTAAGTAGTTTATAGATACTTCCGTTATGTAATCATTTTGAGTGGATTCAGTAAACTAATGTTCAACGATAACTATCGTAGGATTTATTGATGGACTAGAATGATTGTGTGCATACCTAGTATATGACGCAGAATATTCGATCCATCAAAACTATATTTTAATGTCTAAATTAATATATGACCAAATACTTAGTCGGTTGTTACACAATAGAATTATGATGATAATTAGATCTAGAGCAAATATTTTATGACCTGAACAAATTTGAATGAATATACTGAATATTTTCTTTCTGTTCGACTAATCAAAGAACTTACTTTTTGACATATTTAACGGTTACTGATAAGTCTTCACTTGAAAGACCACGTTCAATTGATTTTTCAAAAGAGCTGATATTCTCACTCAGATCTACGTTCAGGGTAGGTTTCTCACTTGAAGCATTTGAATTATGAACAGTACTGGTCAAGGAATTAGTATTACGATCGAATTCCATTCCAATAAACCATTTACGAACAAAATTAGCATCATCATCATTAGGACCTTTTCCGTAGGCATGACAGTTTACATGTGCCATTTTGACATAACGGTTTACCTCGAAATTGCTTACAAGAACACGCAATCTGGATTCTACCAAACCACATAATTCGATGAAGGTATGTTTAGTATTCCCAACGACGATGACGACAACATAATGTCGATATTGAAAGAAAAAGGCTGCTTCAAATAGGTTTGACCAGGAACCCTTATGCATCATTGAAGCCCTGACAACATTCAAACCTTTGGAAAGTAGAATACAGTATAAATTAAAACAGTAATATATGGAACAAACTGACTCTACAAATGGGAACTTAAGTTTAACACTAGTCAAGCGACCTTTGCTTGCTCTCACTAAAACATTTTATCCTCAAATTAGTTATATTTTTTAATAAAAATCGTACACATCTAATCTTTTTACTCGAAAAATAAATCTTCAAGCATTGATTTATGGAATCTTTTGTGAACATTTTTATCGATCAACAGCTCAGGTACAATAGAAATAACTAGTTGAAAGCGTGAGTAAATTGAAGCTTTATCACCAGGGAAAATTTGGAAGCACTGGACGGCCGTTTCGTCCTATTGTGGGACTCCTCAGCAGTGCGCATCCACGTGAGAAGCAGTGACCAGTGGATTTCATACCACGTCTGTTGTAAGATATAAACGCACTGAAGACAATTAGTGAACGGTTGCTCAACTTCGTGGATTGGTTGGAGTTAGACATTAACACCATGGATGCCGGCTCAGTGGTCTATCGGTCAAGTGCTCTGGCGCGAGACTGGTAGCTCCTGGGTTCGAATCTCACGAGACGAGGTCGTGGATGCGCACTGCTGAGGAGTCCCACAGTAGGATGAAACGGCCGTCCAGTGCTTTCAGGTTTTCCCTGGTGGTCTAGCTTCAATTGACTCACGCTTTCAACTATGAAAATACTAAATTTCCACAAAAAACCCCTTCCGAGAAATAATTAGCTTCATTAAAATCAAATGTGTTCACTACTGGACGTTTCTGTAACTTCCCAGATATGTTATAATTAACACTTGTGAAACCAAAGAATTCTAACATCATTTAGATGTAGGCGCGAAAATGATAGTTCAAGAGAACAGATTCTTCAAAATCTGTGAAGTTACATGTTGGAATTTTCCTTCGATGAGGTTGGAAAATGTCAATGGGTTTTTTTAATGAAAGAAGTAACAAAAGTGCACATTTAGTGATTTCTACTTCACTCTTTTCGGTTTAAATACAAAAACCATAAAACGTGAAGAAATTACAGGCGTTTGATATGCTTTCACATTTACTAAAATCTACTACAATTACTGCAAACTGTAGGCAGTTATAACAGTAACAGCACATGAAGTGAAGGGTCGGTTGTGATATACCAATGACCTTACCAGGATAAATGTGATTAGCCCTGGTTGCGAACTGCAACGAATCAATAAAATGACTATTACCATTAGATGTTTACGAAGTAGGCCAAATGATAAAAGATGACTAGGGCACTTTAAAGTATATTTGAAAAATATGGAGATTAAGATGATACCTCAAATAGATACGACCAGAAATCGAATGAACCGAATTATTTTTAAGGACTGTTGACAAGAATAGTGCTTTTGTGGTAACTTTCACTAATATTCACTGACAAACTAAACATACCCACTTCACACAAGAAAGAGGATGAGGTAAAAGACATAGCATTTAATCATGTAGGTTATTGTAAGGTTTGTTATCTAATCTGACCTATCATAAAACATAACCAAACAATTGGCTTCTACAAATTAAGATACAAAAAAGCAAAATGCAGTGAAACTTACCTTGTTTTAATTCCCTTTCAATAATAATACGATTACTTCGCTGTACATTGTATGTTGAATTTTGAGATGGGTAACTTGGAGTCAGTATAGGCATCAAGTGATATTGATCAGAAGGATTAAGCTAGTGTTTAAAATTAAATTGTTTGCCAAACACAATGAATAGTGATTGCAGCCATATTAATACAACAAAATTTAAACTCGTTAATTCAGTGATATGCAAAGATATATAAACAAAAGTATGGTATGAGGTGCTCCAGAAATTACGATTTGTCGAAAAGTGAGAAATTAGATATATGGTTACAACTCAAATCATTGCTCCTGTTCCGCTATTGTTGACTTCTACCTTTGTGTTTTCCCCTTCTTGCATCTTGCAGAGGAAACCTCCAGAGGTATATTGTTTATTTAATGATTGCTGGGGTCAAACATCTCTTGCGATGTTTAAGTTATTGCTTATTCAATGCCTTTCCAGTTGGTCAATATAGTGACTTCCTCCTCTCTTAGTAGACCTCGTAAGACTTAGGACTTGTTTGCAAGAACTACCTTGAACTCGCTGGGCTTGTTGGCACGTCGAACAAATATTGTACTGAACATCGTACTCCTGTTTGTCTAACAATACAATGTCTCTTTAGCTTGATCGCCACCAAGCGCTGATCTGAAGCGATATGAGCTCCCAATCTACATCGTCTGGACATTCTATGCTCCTATGTTTATTGTCCACCTGGTTGTCAGAAGAGACATTTATCTTGTGGCTTCCAAAGTCTCGGCTTTCACTACGAGGCGTCATAACTCTCATAAACTTCCAAAGTAGTGTTTAACCGGGGAGAACCATTTGTCATACGTAGCTTCTATGTTCTACCCAGTTTGGGTTATAGCTCCAGTTGTTTTACCAGCTAAATTAATTTTGCAAGACACTTGTCGGCGAAAAATGGCATGTGACGCAGAGCATCTCGGGGAGTGCATTACGAGGTGTGACTGTTGGCTCAAAGGTATAAAGAACTTAAGTGAACTGTTACTTCCCAGATGTCTCGTACCAGAATCGTACAAACCACTGGCTACTCAGATTCATTGTTTTGCCGATGCCTCAGAATTTGAATGTGATGTTGTGGCGTATGCTCGTTTTGAAGATGCTTGCCGCTAAGTTCACTGTCCCCTTTTATTAGCTAAGTTCAGGGTTGCCCCACTGAAATTTATAACCATTCCTAGGATGGAAGTAGCAACACCAAAATAGGTAGGGCAAGGTTTGAATTCATGATCTAATGGTTAGAAGCTTAGTGTTTTATCCACGAATTCCTCTTTTCATAATATATATTAGGAATTTATTTAGATGTTTGTTATAGAAAGATCAAAGTAATTTGAGTTGTCTAGTACATGACTGACTGACCGAGCTATTTATCAGAAATTACTGAACCAGGTGAAATACCAGAAACACTAAGCAAAAAGCAGAAGCAGTAAAAAAATACAGAAACGATTCTGACTTACTCTCGGATCCCAGACGGGTAAGCACAAACTTGCAATATACTCACACTCTCGCAACCTAACAGGTTTCGGCCAAGGCCATTGACTGAATATGGTAAAAAATAGATAGACGATCATAGATGGCGTAGCGTACGGATAAAGTTGGCAAATTCGAGAAACTAAAATTGCCCAAGACACGCCACCGAGGAACCCCAATGCATTTGAATAGACATTCCGACGCTTAGCCCAGATTCGTATAACCTTAAATAATGGTACAAAAGGATGAGCTATGTGACATGATCATGAGTTACCTTAAGGGCCACTTTAAAAGAATTTTTATTGTACACAAGATTGAGAATATCTTCTGTAACACGAACACCATTAATACTGCGCACGTCTCGTTCATCCATATTTCGCATGAGCACCTCTGTGTTTTCACAAAGACTGAAGTTTTCCGGTATAGACATTTGATCGATTTGAGCAAATAAAAGGTCGATCTATGGAAAGAAATTTATTGCGTATTATATGACGCAAAGGTATTGCATACTTCAACTCCCATAAATTTCATTTTAAGGACGGGAACAAAAGCATCCACAACAGCGTGCAAGTCTTCCACATTAGAATTTTCTGCTAATACAGTCTGAAAATCACTGAAAAACTCCTCGCGTGTTATAAACCGTGGGACAACCAGTAAAGAATCAATATCGGCACCCCTGAAATTGACACCTAAACGATATGAACCGAAAGTGAAAATTTTCCCAGTTGTAGAATTAGCAACATGTGCGGGGAGATTTTGCTCCAATGCTTTTTGACGAATCCATGCATTTGAAATCTCCTGCAACCTAACAAGGGCTTCACGTCTCTGTGATATCTCCTCTTGAGTTTCAAAAATATTAAGTTGAGCAAGGCTAGCCTCTAGTTCTTGTGTATCTCTGAAATCTTGTTCTGTAGGTTTCTTGAAGCTGAGGGCTCCTGTTTCACCAAGACACCTAGCCGGTATTTCCTCACCAACATTCATCTGCAAAGAAAACCGGAAATACACAACAGTTAAATGTACATTTATACATCAATAAAGGAAATGATATATATATATATATATATATATATATATATATATATATATATATATATATATACCGAACGAGGTTAAGACTGGTAGAAGCCTGAGTCAAACTTACTGTTTGCAGTGATTTGCTAGAATTAGCCAAAAAAGTGTTTATTCGAGTAGCTGTGCGTGCTAGTGGTGGCATGACTGATAAGATTAATTGGCATACAGTGAGAACCAGAGTGACTTACGTTAGTCTGAGCTACATTGGGCGATACCATGGTGTTAGTCTGTTTGTAAAAGTTTGGGTTTACAGTGCGTTGGCGAGAGCTGTTTTGCTCTATGATCGTAAAACGTGGTCTCAAAATTCAGAGTGTTTTATGACTTGGTGTCCCATCGTCGTTGTCTCCAGAGGGTTGTTAGAATCCAGTAGCAATACCATGTTAGTGTAGTGAACAGAACACCAGTTGGGGACAATGGAATGTATTTTAGCAAAGATTACAGACTATCTCAATAAATTCTGATTACCAAACAATGAACAGTCAATTTGCAAATTAACAACCAATTGTTTCAATCTTCACTGTTTCTTCTCTTATTCCATTGCTCATGCATTTTCCAGACGTTTGCGTTTCATTTCAGTTCTTTCTTCATCGGTCTTCTGCCAAAATACATTCTATGTCTGACCCACACCATATACTACTTATATGGATATAAGTAGACTACACCACATTAGTAATACTGGTGTTCGAGAACGAGTGTTTGGGTGATTCCACCATTTTAATACACCGGCATCGGTGACTTGAACATGTGTTACGAATGTCAATCCAAAAACTTCCCCACCATGGATTATTTGCTGGCGCGGGGGTGGAATGGGAAAATTGGAGATAGTTTGTGACATGCCACCGTAATATAAAAAGAGCACGCATAGGACTGGTATCTCTCGACCGAATACGACTCTCTGGTTGTCGTCCGAGAGATGATGTAATTCGATGGTCTAAGACATCAGATATGGATCAAAATAAAAGCCGACAACAATCCTGCTATTTATGTACTTACTGAAAAAGGCAGTGATACAAATGAGCACCAAAATAAATATGCACCATACAACGTGACATTATCAAGAGGTGGAGGGCGGAAGACCATTACATTCAAAAACACAGATCAATAAAAATAAATGGATGAGTCAGTTAGTCAGTCACAACGCAGAACTTCGTAAGTACGTAGATCAGTTCGAGTTGCCATACCACATTAGCACAGAGATGCAGCTGTCGATTCAAATCCCATAGTGGTAGAGATAGTAAGAGTATAAACAGTAATCGGAAAGATTAGGGTTTGAAGATGTTATTCAATGGGTATAATCCAGCGAAATAAATTTGGAAAGAAAAAAAGATAGAGACATGGAGAATACAGAAGATTAGAATTTGGTAGAACACAGAGAGCGGATGCACCTTCGCGATTGCAAACGATTTTGAGCCATGTCATTCAAGGTCTCTAACCATCGGATGCTATCATCTTGCGCATCCCAACCAGGTAGTCTACACCTACCAACATGGCTCAGTCCACTTGTCAGTGACTTCATGGATTCTTTGTTGCTTCTGCTCTTAAATAAAAAAACATCTCGCTTTCCCTATAGATTTAGGTGCGAATAAAGTTTTACTTTACACAGACATAACTACCGTAGTACAAAGTTTCTTAAAAAACTGACAGAATGAGGAGGAAAGTGTTATTTCTAAAAGCACGTCAACGACAAAGTTAAACAAGGATGGGGAAAGCGGACAGCCCTGATGAACATCACTTGAGATAATCACTTCTGATGACAATTTGCCGTAAGCTCTAACTCGATCAGTTGTGTTTGAGTAGGGAGCCTTTATAAGGTTAATGTACTTCTTTGGTATTCCTTTCAGTGACAAACACTGCCATAGAACCTCACAATGAACTGAGTCAAATGCCGTCTTAAGATTGAGAAATACTACGATTGTTATTTTACTTGAACACAAATATTGGTACTAGGCAGCACCAGATATATATTCACCGCACAATTGTGTGAGGTTTATGATACTTTCCAGGTGTCCAGACTGAACCAGGTGGTTTTCTTAGGAGGCCACACCTGGAGCCTTTCACCTGAAGGTCTGATCCACAGGACAGTGGAGCATCGTGAGATGCAGTTCCATGATAGCCGGTCACCAACGAATGGTTTATACGCCATTTGCCCCCTCAGGATATTGGAGCTCATGTACACCATTGTTTCGGAATTAGGGTTTTCCAACTTGTTATGCCCCGATAAGGATAATGAATGGTAACTTTGGGATCTATTTATGAACCAATATTATGCATATAATCACTAAATAACTAAACTATTCATATTCGTGTCCCCCTTATTATAAGCTTTATTTTGAACTACCATTCCCGATTTATGCCCTATCTATTTATTTACTATCTCCCCTTATTCACAGCCACATTTGGCTGAATATTGTACAAATGTTGTTTCTTATTTTATGGTACGATGTGGTCAGTTTGATTGGTATATAATATAATACAATATAATGTAATAATAATTATTATTATATAATAATAATATAATGATTCATACTGCAGAGGCTGTTCTGGACTAGGTAGAAGCAGGACCGACAATTACTTTGGACTGCTCGTACGGTTTCCATGTGTAACTGTCCCAATCGATAATTTGCTGTTCTCTGATTGGCGTTCTTATCACGTCATACGTTAGCCAGGCATCCACTAGGCCAAAAGTTATAACACAACTCCTCTAGGTGAACTCACTGTGTCCACCAGCCCGGTTAAGGTGCTGGGCATTCGCTTTTCGGCCCTGTCAGAGGCTGTATAAGCGTGGCCGCGTGAGAGTATTTCGAGAGGGCGCACGCTCCCCACTCTCGGCCGTACTAGGGCACTTTGTGGACGTCTATGTATAAACATCTTGTAGTTGAAGAGCAAGGATATTCGTGATCCCTCCACCAATATTGAATAAACCAGCAATTTGCAGAAAATTGGAAAACCCTGATTCCAAACCAATGGTACACATGGGTTCCAGGATCTTGAGGGAACAAATAGCATATTGTTGGTCACCGGCTACCATGTAACCATCTCCTCACGATGCTCCACTGCATTGTGGTTCAGATATTCAGGTCAAAGGCTTCGGGTGTGGCCACCTAAGAAAACCACCTGTTTCGGTTTGTGCACCTGTGCAGCATCACAGCCCTCACACAAATCAAATGAGATTTGTGTGGCGCATATATATTTGGTGCCCCTTTGTACCAATATTTATGTTTAAATAAAATAAGTGTTTCAAAACCATTCGTGTCAGCCTGAAAATCAGTCTTGAGTGCTGTTAGAGGTATGAGGGCAGTTATCACTTCGCGAAAAGCGAATGTCCGGCGCTATAACCGGATTGGTGGACACGGAGGGTCCACCTAGGGGAGTTGGAAAATCCTCATTCCAAACCAATGGTGCACATGGGCTCCAGTATCCTGAAGGAACGAATGGCGTATGAATCAACTGTTGGTCACCGGCTACCATGGGACTGCATCTCCTCACGATGCTCCACTGCTTTGTGGATCAGACCTTTAGGTCAAAGGCTCCGGGTGTGACCCCCCAAGAAAACCACATGATTCAGTCTGGGCACCTGGGCAGTATCACAGCCCTCACACAAATCGAATGAGATTTGTGAGGCGCATATTTATCTGGTGCTTCCTTGTACCAATATTTGTGTTTAAAGAAATAAATAATTAAGTTATCACTTCCAGGTTGCCCACACCGTGGAAGGGTTCTTCTAGAGGGACCTGAAAAAGAAATTGGATTAGAAGTCGTCTTAATAAACTAAAAGCGTGACCGCAATGCCCAAGGGACAACTGCTTGAGGTCAGTCACACACGACCTATTTGTGTTAGCTCCGTACTTGTTGGGACCTCACCTTACGGATATCCGTGAGTTAAGACGAGGTGTGCAATTTTATGGTCGACCATTTCTAACCACATCCCTCCTTGTGGGAAGGCAGCATCGCTGTTATGCTGGTTGTCTGAAAGAAACACCTTACTGCTGTCACACCTCTGTACAGTCAGCAGTACGATTCCGCCTTCGGACCTTGGTTTACTGCAGTCCAAGCTGTGAGGTAAATGAGGTCTTGCTAGACAGTCTCAATACTTGATCACAAAGTGGTCGATGTCTAGTCCTAGGAGACTTTAATGCACCCACGGTAGACTGTGAAAATCTGAGAATTGAATTGTCAGAAAATTCATTCGAGCAGGAACTAGTTGGTTAGGTTATCACGTGTCCTAGTTCGACATATGAAAGAAGCGACTAGGTACGACCCAGACACTGAATCATCTTTACTAGATCTTATATTGACCCATTATGAGGATGACGTCACGAACCTCGATTACATGTCAACCCTAGGTAAACACGACCATGTAGTTCTAACCTTTGACTTCTATAAATTTGTCAAAAACAAGCACGCGTTACATCAACCCAGACGTCTGGAAAGGAAATATAGAAGACATTATACACTCAGCATCTTCAGTAGATTGGACAATAGAGCCAGTCCCCAATTGAAATACCTTGGGATGTATCTCGAAACTTATACTTAAAGGTTACGGCACCCCACATCCATTGTACTACACCAGGGGGTCCGAGAAACCACCATGGCTCAGTAGGGGGGTTCGCACCCTTCTGTGTAAGAGAACGTGGGTTAGATTTAGGTTACTGGGGGCTGATGATGCAAAATCTAAATATCGAGAAGCTCAGAAAACCCATGCCTCGATCCTCTAGAAGGTTGTACAAAGAAAAAATTGCTAGGGAATCTATAGAATATGCTAAACGCTTGTATTCGTATATAAACCAAAGGACAAAAAGAAGACGAAACATTCCAGCATTATGGGGAAACAGTAACGCTTTACCATTAGTGGAGGACGAATATGGTAAAGCTCAAGTATTCTTAAGCTCCTTTAGCAATGTATATACCGT